TAAAAGACAATTGTAAAACTAATACTTTTATTTTTATATTAATTGTATTTTACAAATTACTTGCATCTCTAAAAGATACAGACATAAAATTATAAAAAATGTTGTACAAAACTGGACGGAAAAAAATAATTATCAATCAATACTTATAATAAATAGAACACAATTTCATATTTATAAATATTTTACAAAATTCATTTAGTCTTAAGAATTATCTTTTGAGTACAGCAAAACGTATAATGAAAAAACGAACTATTTTGAATCAAAAATAAATTGTTAAAAGGTAATACCACCATTTTTACATTAAATTATATTTATAAACTATCCTAACTGAGATTCTTACACAAAATCTTGAACTTAAACAACAAAAAGACAAATACATACTTTATTAACGTGCTACTTTATCACTATAATTCAATTTTTTATATTTCATTTTATAATAAAGCAACCCTCAGTCGTGAAACGGTTTTTAATAAAAGAATAAAAATACGTTTTGTAATTAACATAAAATTGATCTCCAATAGGCCTTTTAAACAATTAAGTTTTCATATTCGAATGTGAGTGCACTATTATTTAAACTGCTTTTTTTTAAACTTTGACTTGTACTCTTCAGTGTTCACTAAGAACGATTAAATTATTTCCAGACAGTAATTAATTAAAAACAAACTACGTCAACACAACTAAATGAACCATTCCTTCTTTTTTTGTACTTGATGTCCTGTGGTTCCTTGGACAACTGCAGTGTCCGGATCGAGAGCGCTTTCAGCCCCCACGTCTTCTTGCGTCAAGTATTCACCCTTGTGTCGATGAAGGTATCGTCCTATAAGGATCGCCAGGATTATTATTCCTATGATGACCACAGCCAAGACACCTACAATTAAAATAAAACAAATTAAAAATATTTAAATAGTAATTAACGTAAAAGTTAATAATAACTTACTTCCTAAAACGGCTGAGTCCGTTTCGTTATAAGCCTCCCTCACTTTTTCTTCGTCTAATTCAGGGGAGGGTCTAGTTTCAATAATATCAGGAGGATGAGTGATGGGTTCAACTCCACAAAAGTCTTCGGTAAGAGGCGCTGAAAAAAATAATAAAGAATTATACAATATGGTATTTATAAAGAAATCGTCAATACGTAATTAATTTATTTATACTTACTTCCCAAAGACTTAACATTGCCTGGTCCTTTTTGTTGAAACAGTAGTTTCAATGGGTAAATATCATCGAATTCTACCCTCGAAATACACCCTGTAAACCCTTCAGCCATCGACTCGTTTCTTCCAATATACATGTACTGTATGTTATTAAACTGAGCGTCCGCGGAGACTTTGATGTTAAATTTAAACTCACGAGGTTCATAATCGTCAACTTGCATTACCATTGTGGCTCCCGAGTCCTTACGCGACAGCCTCAAGTCATGGTACTGTCCCAGACCGAAATGTTTATTTGGATATATTACTTCTTGTCTTTCAAAACCAAAATCGAAAACAACTTTTAACGAGCCAGAATTCGACACTGAAATGGTCATGTATTCGCCTGAAATATTAGAAAAGAAGCCGAGTAAGAAGCCTTTGGGGTTGGTCGTAGTCCATCCCACTCTAATTTTTTCAGAAATGGTTGATCTCCAGGAGCCCATAAAGTCGTATTTTACCAACGAACTTTGACGCATATTAACACCAATTTCGTCAGCACAAATGGGGCCTTTAAACGCTGTCCAGCGACAATCGCACCAGTAACCGTCGTATTTTTCGTGACACGTGCCGTTATTAAGACAGGGATTGCTCTGACATTTTCCCACGCATCCTTCTGAGATGCCGTACAAATTACGCCGAGCATAGCTTCTTAAATCCACTAGGTTACCGTTAAGCAAAAGAGATCTTATACATCCTGTAAATCCGTCTCTGTAATCAACCGTGGCGCCTACAACTAGTGGTGATGTCAAATGTAGGGCACGTATAGGACCTGGAGGTTCGCGCACTTCTGATTTGAGCGCCCCATCGACTACCAATCGAGCCCCTTTTCTGTTACGTTCAATAGCAACTAAATGCCATCTGTCGTCTGCAAGCTTATATGAAGTTTTGTAATTGATGGTGATAGGGCCCAGTCCTGCTTGATACTGGAATTGCAGAAGATCGCCGCCCACTATGCTCAACTTTATGAAATCAGTGCGCCCCTTAGCATGTAAAATGACAGCATTTTCTATGGTGGTTTTGAATTCTAAGTAAATATCTCCACTGTGTCCCATATCAAAAGGTGGCAGATTTATGGTGGCGTCAGAAATACGGAAAGTTATGACGTTATCGAACAAGTCGTCGCCTTCACATATTAACGGCCCTAGGGTGTAACGACCCTCTTTTTCATCCAGGGCATTGCCCGTATCTCCAATGCGAATCTGTTTCACAGGGAGGTGTTCTTTTTCTGTTATGTCGCCCGTATCTTCGGCCCATTGCTCCAGACCTGCGTCGCAATTGCACCACTTGGTGCTGTCAAGACAATTGCCTAGGATGCCACATTCACACTTTCTAGAACCTGAAATTATGGAAATAAATAATTAAATACAAACATCAAAGCTTGTTGAATTGAAAATAAATCATATACCTGGTAGTGCTCCGCCCCAGTAATCCATATTCTGATTGTTACTGGACACCCACCACGAAAAAGGCCTGAAACTAGCCTCGTCTGAAGGAGAATTAAACAGTCTGGAAGCCCTACAGCTGTACTGAATCCTTTGCCTGCAGGTTGCCGACCTGTTGACCAAAGCCCTGATTTGATCATCACTGGCCTCATAAATAATATTCTGTTTATAACTTCCAGGCTCCTGGAAACCATCTACGGGCGTGGTTTGCTGATTACTGTGTTGCACCATAGTAATCACCCTTCCATCTGCATAGAATTCACATGTGACTGGAAAAGGTGCCAAAGGGCCACTTCCATCCACGTCGATCTTTATGTTAGCTTTTTGGTTGACAGAGTGCACGTTTTTGTATCCTTGACAAGACAGAGGGTTTAAAGTCGTATGACAAACTGCGCCCCCATAACCAGTGCCTGCGCAATCACACAGGAATTCCATCGAGTTCTGTTTGCAGACGCCCCCATGTTCGCAGGGGTTCGGATTGCACTTATCAGTCATACGACATGTGTCGAAAGCTACTTCGCCTTTGCAACAGTACTCTTCATTAGTCCAATCGGTTGGGAGCTTATTATTTCCATCGATACTTATAGTTCGCATGCACCCAACGAAACCAGGAATTTGGACATAGTTGGTACCAATCTGACCAGTTACACCGCCTTAAAGAAATAAATAGAAAAATGTTTATTAAAAAAAGTAACAGGCGCCTATAAAATAATTATGCACATCTGAAAATTGCATAAGTTTACAAAAAAATACAATTATTCACCTGCAATCAAATATAATCCCCCAGTGACAATTTTAATATGTCTCACAGTCCTCATGGGCCTGTAATCGACACTAAGAACTAAAGAGTTTGTAGAAATCGTTAAAACAATTGTGTGCCACCTTCCATCATTGAAAGTGCCGTCGAAATTATCCAGAACTACTTTAGGCGAGTCTCCAGTGACCAATTCGACTTTGATTTTACCGAATTCCAAAAATATCTTAAACAAAAAAAACACCCAGATTATAGGATACTTCTAAAACTCCTTATTTTTTTTACTTACAGCAACGTGTCCTGGCGACGAAAAGCTGTGGTAAAGCATCAAAGCATTCTCTTCGAAGGTTCTAAAAGAGAATGAGGCATTCATTGAACTTATCCCCTCATAGCCTTTCAATTTAGCGAAAGAATTCGCTGTAAGAAACGTGACTGCAACCAGAGGAACGTCCTAGAGAAAATAGAGCATTACAACGACATTTTTAAATAAGAATATTTCTTGACTTACAACACACGTATAGTTAGTATTTATTTTAGTAAATCTTAGAGATAATCCATAATCGAAGGCCTCTTTTACTTCCTGAATTAAATTGCTAGAATTGAGATAAATATTTTCCAAACAACCCGTGAAGTTCTGTGTTATTACAAGACCCTCCTGAATGTAAGGCACGCCTCCAAAAAATAACTGGAAAAAATAAATTAAGCCAATTTAAGCACAGAGACTGGAAACTAGAAAATGTACTTACAGCTCTATTTAAATTCAATCGGCTAAATTCCCCTTTAATTCTGCTATGCACTACTACCCTATCAACTGAGAACAAAATATCCCTCCTATTTCGAGAAATAACCACGTCATGCCATATGTTGTCGTCCAACAAACTTCCAACAGATAGACTTGTAACTATACCAGATCCTATAATATTAACATTAATAATCTATTATCAAATAAAAATTATATAAATACCCAAGTCGATATTAAGTAACATCCTGTTTTCCTTAAGTTGCAAAGCAATGTAATCGCCCTGCGTGCCTCTGCTGTACATGAGAACACCGTTAGCACTTGAAGTTTTAAACCTGAGTCTTATTGTTTCTCTAGAAGCAGCAATAGGATCCCTCAGAAGGTCTTGAGCGAGGAGGGACGAGCCATTAAAATTTAATACATCAGATTCTACAAAATACAATAAACAAGTAATATTTATTTTTCAAAAATATTTCAATAAATTAAAACAACTTACTATATTCACAACCAAACAATTCCACTCGCATCGATATGCGATCCCTCCACCTAGTAGGATTAATTCGTATCCATTGAGCTATTATAGGCACTTCGAATTCATTTTTATAAATCGAATCTCCATCGGAATTTCCCTTGAACATCTACAAAATTGATAATTATTAAATCCCAAGTAAACTTCCCAAAACTAAATACTTTTTAAAGCACGTTAGTTCTAAGAAAGTGAAAACCAAGGTGCATTAAGTGAAAGGCTGTGTAACAGTATTAGCATGCCTTTAAAAGAAAAAACAATAATATACAAGATAATCCCAAATAGGCTCACAAAGTTGTAAGACTTCTCTCGTCATTTTCCCCTAATATGCTACATTAGAGTTGCACTTAGATCATCTTGTATTTTAAATATAAAAAAAAATCAGTCAAAAAAAATGATTACGTATATACAACTACGTATTAAAAAAATAAACTTAAAATCTATTTCTCCTTTACCCCCTGCACCTTGTTATTATTCCCAAACAATATTTTAATTTTCAGTATGTAATACATAATAAGTTCGAGATGGCTTCGAAAGTAACGCAAACTCAAATCTACTCAAGCACCTCAGCCTCTCCCGTGGAGTCAGTATAACTTCTCCAGCCTTGCCCATCGTCTGAGTATTGGACTATGTACTCCGTCACGTACTCCTGGGTACGAGAACGACCCTGGGTAGCTATAGAACGTACTTCGAATCTACCACCCAAGTCGAACGTTAGAAACTGATAGTAATTAGTTTCGAAAGGGCTCCAGGCGGAGTCCCCTGCGACCAAAAAAAATTTATGAAGAGAAACGTTAGTAGATAGTTACGAGAAAAGAGCAACAGCATATTAATGTATATACAGATTAATGGAAAATACCATCCACCTTAAATTGAAATGTAACAAATAATAATTAAACAGAAAAAGGTAATTAAGAACAGAAAATTGTCTACTCCAAGCACATAAAATACAAACAAATGTGCAATTGCAAGTATACATGATGCGAAATTTACAGGAATAAAGTAGCAAGAAATAAATATAAAATTGTTACATACACAAAAAAGAGGTACTAAAAGCAAAACTACAACTCTAAATTAAAGCGAAGATTATTATTCTTTTTGTTAGTTTGTTGTGTATAAAACTGTGTTAATAGATATATCTTTTCAAAAATCCACGGTATTTTTAATTAACAAATATTCACATAAATTTGTTGACTGATATGTTAAACTTTATTTTAGAGGGACAAATTCTCACCCTAGTGTCGCCCCCCGATTCTTTATAGTCAGTGTAGTCAAAACCATTAAAGCCATAGCTGATACTATATTCCATGACATACTCAGAACTATGGGGCCTGCCCTGGGTCCATATTCTTGTTACGTTCATTACATGGCCCAAATCAATTATCAATTGCTGATCGAAGTCACTACTTTGCGCTGTCCAAGCATTACCACCTAATTGATTGATTATTTAAAGATTACTTAAAATAAATAAACAAAATTTAAATCGTTTTACTTTTTAATACATCATTAAACATTTAGGTGGTTTGCCAGTGTTATCATTGACGAAAATATACATATATTTATAATAATATTCATCACAATTAAAAATTTAATTTGAACGATTCTTAAAATTGTAAAGGATAAATCAGAGTATAAAATATCTTAAAATGCAATAGACTTTTTTTGAGTTTAAATTCTCTGAAAACCTTATTGGAGAATATGTACGCTATTACTACATTTTCAAAAGAAATAAATCAAAAACGAAAAGTGAGAGAAGATCTACGATAGCAATAAATTATGAATTGTAGCAAGTAAAAAAATCTACAACACGGCATTTACATGCAATTTTAGTGCTTTACACAAAGTGGTACAACATAAAAAGATGGTACAAATAGGAAATCAATGCTCTACTTTTGATAATACACACAAACTGCAAAAATTAAATTTCATAAGTTATACACAGGAATTTAAGTTGAGAACTATTAGTTAGATCTTTTTTTGCTAAAATTACAAATTGTATCATATTAGGGAATAAATATTTTTTAATTTCTCTTGCAAATAATGACATTTTTGTAAAAGAAATGAATAAAAAACAAGAACGTTATCATTATTATTTATTAAGTATTTATTTTTGTTTACAATTTAACGTTAACAAATATTTAAACTTATCTTTCTTTTACAACACTTATCGTTAATATTAAATACCAAGAGAGAAATTAAAAAATATCTAAAAAGTAATAACATATTCACAGTGCCTATCTAACTCTTTTCAAGTTTTTGAAAATAATCAGTACAATAAATTTCATCTTCTTCTAATAAAGGAATTGCATCTTCAGTTAATGTATCAAAATTTAACTCTTGAAACAAACAATCTTTTTTGTCACCCGTCCATTCATTAGCATTTAAAGCTACCGCAACTATGTGTTTATTGTTAATCAAACTTTCTTCAAAAATCCAGTTTTGTTTTTCATTTTTCACATAAAGTTCTGTATCAGTTATAACGTTTTTTTCAGAAAGACACGGAGTTTTTATTTTGAAACTTAAATCCTGCAAACTAATTGTTATACCTACACCTATAGCTTTCACATAACTCTCTTTGAGACACCAGTGTCTATAAAACGATCCTAATTGTTCGTCTTCACTTTTACAACTTTTAATTGTTATCCATTCGCTTACAGAAAATTGCCTGGACATAATTCGAAAGAATTCACTTAAACTTTTACCACCTGTGTATTCTACTTTCATAATGTCCGCCCCTATCATACTGAGCCCCGCTTCACCTGCCAAAACCGCGAAATCTCCCTGATGAGAAACGTTAAGAGCAAGTACCGTTTCAGGAGAAATTACAACAGGTTTTCCTTTATTGTCACGAGAAAATTTAATCGAATTATAAGGGACTTTGGTGACATCATGGACAAATTTACGCATCATAAGTCTACCAATAAGGGAAGCTTTGAAGTCGTTTTTAAAAACAAATTTTGCCAGTCGCGCCTTCTCTTCTGGTTGTATACAAGACGTTGCCAATTTGATATCTTGAACTGTGGGCTGCCATTTAGAAATATTAAAAGTCCAACGGACACTTTTGCTTGACATTTTGAACTATTTTTTTACAAGAAATGTATCAGCACAAAGAGCTAACAAATGTTCTACACTATTGATCCACTTAGACCTCAAAACCTATACAATGAAAACTGTATTAAAAAAGTATTCCTATGTATATATCTTGTAGCACAAACTATTTTTAATTAAATTGGTCATTTGTTATTGTGCTCAAACTATTTTGTTGTAAGTTTAAAAACATTCTTAAATTATCATACCATACAAAATAGCATTCCTTGGGCCTCTGTCTCTCATCCATGAAGTGGCATTTACAGCAGCCCTTTGCATCAAGGGGTTGTTACAGTCATAGTAATCATACAAATCTATAATAAGACAAAAGGATTATATAAAATAACCTCAAGTAACAACATCGAATATCGATTTATTACAGAATAATCAACTACTTTAATTAATTTATTGTTAACCAAAATAGTACTTCATATTTTGGTAGCACATATCCTGAAAATAGGGTATAAAAGGTATACATCTGGTTCAGTTTAGTATTAACTCAAAAAATAAATTAAGTTGTATCATAGTATGGAGCAATTGTACACCTTAATTAATTTACAATAAGTAATTAGCAAATATTACAATAGTTGACATTATGTTTTGATAATATACCTGCTCTAGATGTTGTATAAAAGGTGCACAAAACCAGAAGCCACTTTATCATATTGAACGTAAACTATCTTCTCATATTCAAAATTTAAGAAAAAATTAATGATTCCACATTTAAGTAATTAATAACTTAACCCTAATTTGATGATTAACAGTTGAGTAACGCTAAATGAGTGTCATTATTTTGACGACGCCCATTTGTTGTTGTTTGCTAATTCTATGGAAATGAGAGTTTAAGAACCAGAAAAATAAATGTAAGTATAATGAAAGTGGTTAGATATACGATATTCGGATAACTTTGTAACCTTAATATTATTAACAGATAAAATATCAAATATAATGAATATTTCAACGATAAAATTAATTAAACTGCAAAATTGCTCTTCTGATATTTGATAAAGTTCAATTCATTTCATTGAGCATATAAAAGAAGTAAAACATGCCATACCATTACGACCTTTACCTGACCATATTTAATATATCAATTTTGAACTTCTGCTAATAATAATGGTCTTTTAAAACATGCTTCTATCTCCTAGGGCTCCCTCACTGAACGATCTCGCAGTCCGCAATCCCATAACGATGTACCAAAGCCTTTAAAAGAAAAATATTGGTTTATTTGTAGTGTTTACTAGAAGGGGTTCTTCCCTATTATATTTATCTAAATTTAAATGTTGTACCACAAAGTTAACAGGAAAACAAATGTTAAGTGACTTTTAAATAACCTTTTGCACCCCTTTATTATATGTCTACAACCCCATGAGCTAATGCAATCCTCTGTTTAATTTTGACCCAAATTACGTTTTCATTCAACCTTTTGTTACCCTTTTTTACAAAAGCCAAGTCATTATACGACCTCAGCCTCGTTATTTCCTACATTCATTTAAATAATTACCCAGTTATATAAGGTCACACGGCGGTAGTGGTGGTAACCAGTGCGGTGCCGGCGTTTTTGACATTGCCTATATAATTAAAAGCAACACACCACTTTCATATTTTAATTAAATTTTTGCTGTTTTGCAGCTACGATTTTATAAACGTCAGACTTAGTTCAGCATTTCCTTTTCGTGTTAGAACACTGAAGGAGTACATAACCATGTCTGGTACTGTTGGGAAGGTAACAGTTTGCTTTTTCTTTATTCTGTTGCCTCCGTTTCTCTAATGTTTAATTTGTAACTGTAGGTGATTACCTGTAAAGCTGCAGTTGCTTGGGGGCCCAAGGAAGACTTAAAAATCGAACAGATTGAAGTGGCACCCCCCAAAGCTCATGAAGTCCGATTAAAGCTTTTATACACTGCTGTCTGTCATACAGATGCTTACACTTTGAGTGGACAGGATCCTGAAGGGGTTTTTCCTGTGGTTCTGGGTCATGAAGGGGGTGGAATTGTAGAAAGTGTTGGAGAAGGAGTCACCAATGTTAAACCAGGTTAGTTGGATTTTAGATATTTAAAGAGGTTTCTTGAGCTAAAATAGAAAAGGATCACATATTTTAACAAACTTATTTAATTATGCAATAGAGTATTTCTCAAAGTCTATCAAATATTATTAGAAAAATAGTTGCAGTTTTAGGAAGTGATGGATAACCTTTGTTAATAGGTTATCAAGATAAAATGGAACAATATGTAATAAAATAAAAGAGATTGCTCTAACAAAGTATTTAATAAATCACTCTTGTTGATAATGATTATCAATACAATTGTTAAATGATAATTAAATATTTTGTTAAAACTCAGTATATTGAAAACTTATTTCATCACAAAAGTTTTATAGTTTTAATATTCAGTGTNAAACTTTTATTTATAAATTTTATTGTTTTGCTTTGAGATAAAACATTTATTTCATGAATAATATTGTCATTCATGAACAACATTGTCATGCCTGTACTTCTTTAATGGACCATGAAGAACAATCAATATTACATTTTTTGCTCTTAATGATTCATGATTGCCTGCAAAAATAAAAATAGTCAAGGTCTTGTCTTGTCTATGTATAAATTATTTATATGTATTTCCTTCAGAAATAAATTCCTTTACATTAGGTAACATATTTCAATTATTTTCTAAAATTACATTTTAATGCTTTTTAAATGTAATTTAATGATATTTTTGAACATTTCTCTTATAGGGGATCATGTTATTCCCTTGTACATTCCCCAATGTAAAGAGTGCAAATTTTGCAAATCCCCAAAGACAAATCTTTGTCAAAAAGTTCGTACAACTCAAGGAAGGGGCGTCATGCCTGATGGAACAGTTCGATTTTCTTGCAAAGGGAAAGAATTGTTCCATTTTATGGGCTGTTCCACATTTAGTGAATACACAGTTGTGGCAGATATTTCAGTGGTTGCAGTAAGTGGAAATATATTTTTCAATTATTGTAAGTGCCCTTAAACATCCTTTTGTTACCCAATAAATAGGTAAATCCAAAAGCAGAATTGGACAAAGTTTGTCTACTAGGATGTGGGGTCTCAACCGGCTATGGGGCTGCTTTAAATACAGCTAAAGTTGAACCGGGTAGTTCATGTGCTGTTTGGGGTCTTGGGGCAGTCGGTTTAGCCGTTGGTTTGGGTTGCAAGGCTGCAGGAGCAAAACGAATCATTGGAATTGATGTTAATCCAGCCAAATTCGAAGTTGGTAAGTTATACACTCAGAATTACACTAAAAATACTAGGATAATAATTAATAAGTTAATATTTAATAATTCTGACGTCAGATATCTGAACGTTTATATTACATAATAAGAATAAGAATCCAAGCTTATGATTCTGATTAGATTGAACATGAAAGTAAATATTTGGAATTTGATAAACCATTCACAAAAAAATTAATAAATGACTTCCATGGTATTTTTTTTCTTTTTTTTTCAGCTAAAAACTTCGGTTTCACCGAATTCGTGAACCCTAAAGACTACCAAAAACCTATACAAGAAGTGCTAGTTGAATTAACCGATGGAGGCTTAGATTACACTTTCGAATGTGTTGGAAACGTTAATATAATGAGAGCTGCTCTCGAGTCGTGCCACAAGGGCTGGGGCGTGTCAACCATTGTGGGCGTTGCTGGTGCAGGACAAGAAATTAGCACCCGTCCCTTCCAACTTGTCACCGGACGTGTATGGAAGGGGACAGCCTTTGGAGGTAATGGCTAATACAACATTAATTTTTGTTGTAAAATATTAAAAAGTTTTTTGTTCTTAGGATGGAAAAGTATTGATAGTGTGCCGAAATTGGTGGACGAATACGTGAACAAGAAATTACCGCTGGAACGTTTCGTTACCCACAATTTACCTTTCGAAAAAATTAACGAATCGTTCCATTTAATGCACAAAGGAGAGAGGTAATATTTCAGTTAACATTCAATAAAATTGCATATCTAATATTACCTTTGTTAATTTCAGTATTCGTGCGGTTTTAAAATTCTAAATATACTCAAATATGGATATTCCGTCGTAAAATATATTGTTAAGCACTAAATATCACTATTCTTTTGTTTTTCTTTTTGATACACAACCTTATATTGTTGCTCTTTATAAATAAATGTTTTACGTGCCTTATTATTGAAATTGTTTACTATATTTTTTTGGGAAATCCAATTAAACCCCCTTGGAAGAATTGTATAATTATTTTACTTAAAGAAATACGAACGAAAAATAATAAAATAAAATACATTTTTTCTTACCTTAATCTATTTGTCATTAAAAATTCTTATAATAAAAGATATCGTCATTCCTTTGGACTAGTCCTTATTAACAGGAGACTGGGACCAGCTTCTCATCCTTGTCTCATTCTCTGCTTCTCGAGGCATAGACCACGACTTTGACCTCGAACGTATTTTTCGCATACTCCTGGGAGATATGAACTTTGAACTATCCACAGAACAAGACCTTTTTTCTTCTAGTTCATTTTCTTTGTTTTTACTACTGCATTGTTTTTCTTCATGGGCAACCTCATTGCTTTTGCTTCTATTCCTTTGAGTCTGAGGAGTACGGCTAACAGATGATTTCCTAGATTTTTCAGAGTCTTTGGATCTCGATCTCTTAGAGTAAGATCGTTTTCTAGACGTGGACTTCGATCTTCTAGAATAGGATGGTGATCTCTTTCTATACGAAGATCGCGACTTTCTGGAACCGGATCTACGTTTTGTAGATGAATGTGACCTTCGCGAATATGATGGACTTCTTCTAGAAGCCGAGGAAGATCTCCGCCTTCTTGAAAAAGATCTTCTGGACCCACTTCTTCTTGAACGTGAGTAAGATCGCCTCTTGGAGTTTGATCTTGTCCTTCTCGAAAAAGACCTGGATCTTCTGCGAGACGGTGATCGCGAATAGCTACGACTTCGTGATTTCGATCTTGAGTAATCCCTATGATAACGATCATCGTGTTCATGCAAAAATTTCTGGAAATACTTCACGTATTCTTCTTCTTGGGCTAACTGATAAAGATTCTTTCTTTGTTTCGCGCCCCTGTTTCGAAAATTGTAGCCTCGGGAACGCCTTGGAAAAGGACCTCCTACAGAAAATCCTACAAAAAATTATTTTATGATCGAAAAGAAAAAGATTAAAATAAATTTTAAATTATAAAAGTTATAAATTTTAAATCTAGTTGTATTATCTCTTTTAAACCTTAACAACTGTAGTGCATTCGTATTAAAATGGAATGTACTGTAGCTGATTAAAGATGAGTTCCTCAAAANCCGACTATCTAAAGTTGATTACAGAATACTGCTTTTCGAAACATTTTACAATATTTATTTAATTACAGTTAATGTATAACAAGCTACATCATTAACAATAAAAAAAATTCGCATTTAAGAGGGCGGTAGTAGCCCCAACATTTGCAAACATGTTTGGGCAGCGTCCTTTTTCGCATGTTTTTTATTAAAATTTGGAGTTTTTGGTTTATACTCAATGCCATTCAAAATTACCTTAAAAAAACGTTTTAAAATTTAAAAGGGAACCAGAATGCCAATTAAAGTTCAATCCATTAAGCTTGTTAATCTTGCTTACCTTAAACATAAACGTCTTTTTATGATCCGGTCCATTTTCATCGCAAAGTTCGTAAATCGGGGGCCCTAATTTTTTCTTTGCAGCGTATTCTCCAAGTAGAGACACTGGATGCTTACTTTCCAGACTTTTAATAGATAGTTTCGGACTAGGATTCCCTTTAACAGGCTGTTTTTTTCTCTGTTCTTCAGTAGTAACAAGGCCTTTTTTATTTAGTTTAACTTCAAGTAATAGGGGCTCCAAAGTGCCAGTTTTCTCTTTCCCTAAACCTTCTCCTGGTCGCCAACCCATTTTCTGTAGAAGATGCATTCCCATACCACCAGATACAGGAGCAGCATTTTGTAACTGATCCTAGTTAAAAAACAAAGAACCAAAAAATGTATTATATATATAGATGGGAATAATTAGGGTAATTTCTTGAAAAAAAAAAAGCTTTTACTTTATTCTGAAAAAACAAAATTGTAAGGTAAGTAACTCACTCTGTTAAAAAAATTTAAAGTTTGTAATTTTTAAATGGCAAAAGACTGTTCAGTTTTCTTCTGAAAGAGCCTTCCACGTTGCTGTTGGTACTTACCATTTGAGACCCAAGTTCACCAGATCTGGACCACGAAGACCTGACATATAAATGCTCTAATTTCCTGCAACAAATTCTCAGGTGGTCGGATTTTATAAATCAGAAACCAACAGTATATTGTTGGTTACTGGTTTATAATATATGAAAAATGAGAGGTTTAAGAGAGTAAAATAAATTTTAAACCTCTAGAAGGTCCTGCCATGTCCCTAAGAATTTTTCTTCCTCGAATTTGGTATGGTAGGTATCCATGCATGGGAGTCCTAATGGTAGGGGGATAGTAACCTCCTACTGCATAAGGATTTGGTAAAATACCATCTTGATACCTCATCCATTCTGGGTAGGGATAAGGGACTTCTGGAGTCTGTATTCCCACAGGTGGCTGTTGTAATGTTGGCCCTAAAAATTTAACCTAACGTTTGTTATATAATTTTAGGGATAAATTACAATGCCCAAACCCTTTTCCTTTTTTCGTTTGAGGGAAGAGTCCGAGCTTAGACTTTCACTAGACGTTGAACGTAGACTTGGTCCGCCACTTAAAATGCTCTTCAAAATAACTCTGCCTTCAATTGCCTTATGAAGCCTATCTCTTTGCTGTCGTACTTCAGATTCAAAAGTTGATTTATATTTATTGAGCTACAGAAATTAGTTAACAATATAAGTACATAAATTAAAACATATAATTGACTAGTCATTACTAAAATATAATTACCTCACTATTTCCTTCTTCCATTCTTGATTGACGAGATGGTTTGGTTTCTTCATACTTCACCTAAAAATTTAATAAGAATTGTGATTTATTTAGAAAAATTTTTTAGATAACTTAACAACCTTAATCCTTCTAAACAGTTCTTCTACGAGTCTTATTGCCTCTAGTTTTCTTTGAGCTTTTAATAATTTTTTTTCTTCTTTAGCAATTTTGTTTGTGATTTCATCTGCTCCATTTATTTTTAATTTTGCTAATATTTTTTGTTTTCGTTTCCTTTCCCTTTCTTGTCTTCTCTTTTCCTTTTCAACTTTTTCTGCTTCTTCCCTCTGCCTAAAAGTTAAATCTACACCTACCAAATTACAAGAGGCAGAAATTTACTCTTCAAACACCACCTACATCTTAATGAGAAATTAATTTAAACAAAAAGCTTTTTTTTATACTTGCTATATGCATTAAAATACTGATTATTGCAAGTTAATTTTAAGGATACAAATAAAATGAAAATTCTATCATAAAAACCTTTCAAGACGCGTCTGTTCTTCCCTATTTTTTCTCTCCTTTTCTTCTCGTAATTCTTTTTCTTTCATTTTAGCAACTAGTCTTTCCCTAACAATTTCACGCCTTCGAATGGAAGCATCACTTAAATGTTTAGTCTTATCAAAGTCCACTTTTATATTAACAGTGATACAGTCATCATTGTCCTTTCTTAACAATTTCATGTTACGAAAAGCGTCCATAGTCTTTGAGAACCCTATATAATCCTTAAATTGCACATACCCCTCAAAAAACTCATTTTCATCAAAACTGGATACTTGCATTCCGGTCATGTGTGCCTTCATGTTTTTTCTGTAGGGATCACAAATGGGAATGTCTATATGGCGAATCCTACCAAATTTTTCAAACACTCGATAAAATATTTTCTCTGAAGGAATAACTTCACCACTGTCTATTAAATACGGATGGACAAACCATTTACTTGGCAAATTTGAAATATGAACAGTGTCTGGACGTTCTCCAGGCTTCATTTCATTCATATCATTTGACTCGCGAAAAAATGCATCCCAGATATGTCTTGAAGGAAAATCTGATTTGGCTTCAGCAGCTCTAACATGCATTAACTCACTGAATTCTTTTAACTTAATCATTTTGTTGTTTAAACGATCAATCACATATTGGAGTTTGTTTTTGTTATCAATTTCTGCTTCAAACCTGACAAATTCTAAAGAAGTCTTTGTCACTTTAAGAACAGTAAACTCTTCGGGCTCAATAAGTTTTCTAAATTTCTCCATGACTTCCCAATTTGAAATTGTTTTGCCCACGGTTCTTCTTGGTAGCTGAAGAGAAATATTCAAACGTGCAATAGGTTTCAAATACAATTTCTGTGGAAGATACAGGGGCACCGCATCCGATGTATTACGACAGCTCTGAAAAGCATTCATTGTGATAAAATCCGCTCATTTAACAAAAAGTGAATAAAAATATTTTTTAAGAACAAGATTTCCTCACAAATGCCTTTCAAAGCTTTCATCTTTATCATAATTTAAAAAATGTTTATAGTCAGCCATAACAATTTGAGGTTAATACACTATATACTGTATATACACAAGAATAAAAAAATGAATAAACAACCATAGATTAATTAAACATCAATAGTGAATAGAGTATACTATACGGTAGTCATCTCGATGTTTTGATAATAAAATGAGGTCAAATTTAAAATTATTTAGAAAATAAATTTTAAATACATATTTACCAACTAAAGAGTCATAAATGAGATCTGTTAATATTCTTCAAATATTACTATAGGATCTTTTGCTTTGAAATTGCCTCGAAACTTTACATAAACGATGATACAAAATAGGGCCCCTTTAAAAGCGTTTCAAAACATTTTAATGTAAAACACGAAATATTGATCATCTAATATATAAACAAGGCACTTACAAGGGAGACAGATCCTTGTCAGCTTCCTATCGCAACTAAAACAGAACCCTGTGACTGTAACTACTTAACAAGCAGATTCTATTAAAACCTAACTTGTATTAAATGTATGCCTCCATTCCACTGTCTTGTATTAATATTAATTTTTTAAGAGGGATATGTTCCTAAAAGAAAATTTGAATACGGGAAAATATACAAATGCTACAGTTGTCAAGTCGTTTACGCAAGGTGCATCGTTGAAGTCACATTCGTTCTCATACATACAGATACATTTAAATGTGAAATTTGCAAAAAAATCACAAAAAGCCCATAGCTCTGAAAAAAATTACAAACGCGATATTTGCGACAAATCTCTCGCACAAAATTCACATTTAAAAAAAGATGTGCGATCTCACGCAGGGGAAAAACCGTTCACTGGTAATGTGTGTCACACATCATTCACAGAAAATAGTACAGTCAAGAAACCTTTTCGAGATGTTTCCTAAAAAAATTCTATACAACAACTAACTCAAAATGTAGAAATACCATAAATAATATTAATTTATTTTTGCTTTAAAACTTAAATAAATTAATAATATAATAAAATGAAATGCAATATTATATACCCAAATATTACTTTATTTTGTCTTTTCCTTATTTATTTTTGAAACATTGTAAAGTGAAATTTAATATTGTCTTGAATTAAAAAATTGATAAAAAATGTATTAAGACGGAATTAATAAATAATATAAAAGTTACAGTTGTTTTAAATATAAACTTGAATGTTTCCAAGATAAAATTTAAAGAATTGGTGGTTGTAACATCTGTACATGGATGAAAACCGCTTATTAAACTAAACAGTTATAATGACTTCTTTTTACAATAAAAACTTTTCAAAAACTTCAATTAAAATAAATTGGATGGTTAATATAAAATATTGTAATAATAAATAATCCACGTTTTTTCACGACAGTGTTTTTCATGCTGTATATTGATTATTTCGTACTAATCAATATTTTGCTTTCAAGAACATTTAATTCATGTTCAGTTCAACACACTTTAAACCAGTACATTAAATAAAATGCTCTTAATTTATGCAATGATAATTGCCCTAATTAAGTCACAAGTTGTTAAAAGATGTAAGTTTGTGAAGTACAGCCTTATATTTTAAATTTATCACAATTAAATTTAGGTTTAGCCATTGATTGTTTTAAATGCATGTCTATAAACAACAATTACAAGCCGTGTGAAGATCCATTTCACAATAATTACACTTTAGATATATATGAGTCCCCTTGTCTAGGAGGAAAGAAAGGCAGGGATGGTCTATTTCCTGCCACTTCTTGTATTAAAATTGCTGGCAAGTTTGGTAAGTAAAGTACAAGAAAAAAACACTGCATATAAAAAACTTGTTTTAAGACGACAACGGTGATACTATCGTGTTACGGGGTTGCGCCCTTGATAGCGGCACCCTTACAACTGACACAGAAATTGTAAGAATGTCGCACTGTGGTGGTTTTTTTTACGACGATAGGTGAGTATTAAGCAAACTGATATTTAAAACAACTTTAACTACAGTTTATTGAATGTACTATATAGTAAAAGAGTATATTATTTTAGATATGTCCGGGGATGTGTACAAAGTTGTAATGACGCAGACGCTTGCAATTCTGGCTTTAAAATCAAAATAGACGTTATAACATTATTTTTGGCATTATACTTGCTTTTAAAACCAAAAATGATAAATTATATTGCATGTTAATGAAAAAAAAAAATTAAATACGAATATTTGCAATAAAAAATTATCTAGTAATGTTTTAAATCACTTTATGTTAGTACTAAAACCGTAATGACCTATTTTTTTGTTGATAAGAGAATTCAAATGTAGTCATTTTAGTTCTTTAATTGATAAATAAATATCCAAAAAACAGCATGCTACCTACGCTATGTTTCAAACACATATGAATATTTTCATTAAAATGATTATTACCGAACACAAACATTAAAAAGGACCCTTCAAGGGAGGGTTTTCAAAGTGGTTAATATTAACATATTTCTTTTATAGAAGGATAACTCTCGTCATGAAGTGATTTAAATAATTCAATAAATATAAATAAAAAATTTTTTGATAAAAAACCTGATTAAATTAGGATGTTGTGCTGTATTTTGGTTTTGTTTCCTGGTCAGTCACTGTCCTTATGTACACTGCGTCCTCGGGAAGGGTATTTGGAGGGTTGTCTTCCTCCAAAAAGTAGGAGCATGCAATTGCCAACACAGAACCTTTAGAAAGAATCGAAAAATGTTAGGTACAATTCAGTGAAGTGTATAAATGTATTTACCATTGTGACTAAAACTAAGGGAAGTAACTGAGGTGTGGTATTGGTGAAATTGACACAATCTTTTCTTATTAAAACCATCCCAAATATTTACATAACCATCAGAACCTCCCGTTGCAAAAGTATTGTATGTTGGGTGAAAACTAAGAAAAAAAAAATGTACAATGGAAGTAATAAATAACATTTACAAAGTAATATTCTACAAAATGTTAAGACAAGAAAAAATGTCCTTATGCCTCTGGTACATCCTTATATTACCTGATAGCATTAACAGGATATATCCTTTCAATGCCATCTTCTTTAATTCTGTGACACTTAAAAGCATATTTCTTCTTTTGTATTTCTGGATTTGTGTCCAAATATTCAACAGCAACCCTGCCTTCAATACTGCTCAAGACAAATCCTTGTTTATTAGGGAAACATCGAATAGCTCTTGTTTGGTATTTCAAACTAGACTCTCGCTTCTGAATAGTGTAGGACATGTTTCTGATGTCCCAGACTAAAATTTTACGTCCTGCCGTACCAACGACAAGCTTCTCACCACAAACACTCATTGTGTATACTTTGTCCCCTTGATTATAGCTACCACTGCAAACTGAAGATCTGGGGTCCCACAATTTTAAATGATGGTCCCAACTTCCTGTTAGGATTCCATTGACTTCTTGACAATACTCTACACATCTTATAGCATTATTGTGACTTCCAATGGTCTTCTCTGATAACATGATTAATTAATTAATGACATATATCAAAACTATTTAAGTATTCACCTGTTGTAGTGTTAAAATCAAAGGTTTTAAGGGTATTGTCCAACCCTCCACTGTATGAGTGCACAGCATCCTAACAATAAAAGATTGTTAGAAAAAAAATTAGCATTACAGTACATGAAGGAAAACTTACAGTAAAGCAGCAATCTAATACAGGAGCATCATGAGCATATTTATGCCGTAAATTATTTGCCATGACATCGTAAAGTCTTACACTACCGTCCCAGGAGCTCACAAGCAAAAACTGATTGGTATTCGGTCCAAATTTTACAGAAGAGACTGCATCTTCTGGTGATGATTTTAGTTTATATTCAGTTTGGGATTTAATGAGCATTTTGTTGTTTTATAAAAATAACGCTGCGAATAATAATGAAAGAAGACTAGAAATTATCTAAATCCACGTTTAGGATTACTTTTCTGCTCTGAAAAGAGAAAAACTATAACTGACTATAACCACACTTATAAAAACACAGATAACTTAGGACAAACACAAAATTTAAGTAAAAAAAACTTCTTTAGGAGTTAGTAGTTAATAGTTAGGTACTAACTTAAACACAAAATCCACAAAATATAATTTTAAATTTGTCGAAGAAATGTTCGTTACTTTTTAAATAATTCAATAATTACAATAGTTTTTTTAATATTTTAAAAACTCATAGAACTGAGAACACTGACTTAATCTGACTATGACTACGGAGAACACATTCTAAGTTCTGTGGTTGTTTTTGATTTTTGCACGTTATCTTGAAAGAAATTTCTAGAATTACATATTTAAAATAATAAGTTTCATTTAAATTCGTTAATTCTACAATTTTATTATTCAAATGGCTATGTTTGGTATCATCGTCTCTGGTCGTCTGGTAAATAATAAGCAAAATAAAAACTACTTAACCCTAGTTCTTCATTTGTAAATATTGTAAAACATTTTATAGGTCTCAACAGATTATCAACCAATTAATGAAAGACAATTTATAACTACCATCCTAGATGCTGATAACGTCAACCATGTAGTAGTGTTCTTAACTGGAGCAATTCCCTTTCCAGAGGGTACTGCTGGGCAAGGTTAGCATTTCTATGTTACTAAGCAATTTACAAGGAATAATTGTTTATCTTTAGTTTACTTCAGCTGGCCTGACCCCACTGCACCCCCCAATTGGCAATTACTAGGATATATTTCTAATCAGAAGCCCTCAGTTATATTCAAATTATCAAACATAAAGAAACTCCACGAAATGGGAGACTTCTCTAATACATCTACATTTGGCCAGCAGGATATTAGTCATAATGCCCAATTAGGAATATCAATAGGTACCTATATCAACTTCTTATTTAATTAACCAACCTTTTTTATGAAAAAATATTTGGGATCTTTTTAGAGCCGCTTTCAAACATTCAAGAAGGTCCTTCATCAACTGATGCAACAACATATGTAAATTATGCTCAGAAAATGTTAGAAAGCTTTATGAACTATGTTTTAAGCTACACTATAACACAGGCTCATATGGTGCCCGATCCTACAGCAACTTATGTACCTCTATCCACTGTTCAACATTGGTACACTAACTTTGAAAGAAGACTTACTCAAAACCCCAACTTTTGGAAAACGTAAGTTATGTTTGCCCCCAATAATATCATTTAAACTGGTAACCGATTTAAATAACTGCTTTACATCTGAAATGCATTTAATGAATGAAATAATTACATCAGGATAAGTAAATCTTTTTAGTTATATAAAGTTGAATTAATATAAGCTTTAAAATTGTGTTTTATTGCATTATTTCATGTCAGTCATAATTTTGTATGTTTGTAAAATTGAGATTTAGTAAAAATAAATTATTTTAGTGATTATTTTTTTAATTTTTATATGTATTCCTTTAATAAACCGACTATCTAAAGTTGATTACAGAATACTGCTTTTCGAAACATTTTACAATATTTATTTAATTACAGTTAATGTATAACAAGCTACATCATTAACAATAAAAAAAATTCGCATTTAAGAGGGCGGTAGTAGCCCCAACATTTGCAAACATGTTTGGGCAGCGTCCTTTTTCGCATGTTTTTTATTAAAATTTGGAGTTTTTGGTTTATACTCAATGCCATTCAAAATTACCTTAAAAAAACGTTTTAAAATTTAAAAGGGAACCAGAATGCCAATTAAAGTTCAATCCATTAAGCTTGTTAATCTTGCTTACCTTAAACATAAACGTCTTTTTATGATCCGGTCCATTTTCATCGCAAAGTTCGTAAATCGGGGGCCCTAATTTTTTCTTTGCAGCGTATTCTCCAAGTAGAGACACTGGATGCTTACTTTCCAGACTTTTAATAGATAGTTTCGGACTAGGATTCCCTTTAACAGGCTGTTTTTTTCTCTGTTCTTCAGTAGTAACAAGGCCTTTTTTATTTAGTTTAACTTCAAGTAATAGGGGCTCCAAAGTGCCAGTTTTCTCTTTCCCTAAACCTTCTCCTGGTCGCCAACCCATTTTCTGTAGAAGATGCATTCCCATACCACCAGATACAGGAGCAGCATTTTGTAACTGATCCTAGTTAAAAAACAAAGAACCAAAAAATGTATTATATATATAGATGGGAATAATTAGGGTAATTTCTTGAAAAAAAAAAAGCTTTTACTTTATTCTGAAAAAACAAAATTGTAAGGTAAGTAACTCACTCTGTTAAAAAAATTTAAAGTTTGTAATTTTTAAATGGCAAAAGACTGTTCAGTTTTCTTCTGAAAGAGCCTTCCACGTTGCTGTTGGTACTTACCATTTGAGACCCAAGTTCACCAGATCTGGACCACGAAGACCTGACATATAAATGCTCTAATTTCCTGCAACAAATTCTCAGGTGGTCGGATTTTATAAATCAGAAACCAACAGTATATTGTTGGTTACTGGTTTATAATATATGAAAAATGAGAGGTTTAAGAGAGTAAAATAAATTTTAAACCTCTAGAAGGTCCTGCCATGTCCCTAAGAATTTTTCTTCCTCGAATTTGGTATGGTAGGTATCCATGCATGGGAGTCCTAATGGTAGGGGGATAGTAACCTCCTACTGCATAAGGATTTGGTAAAATACCATCTTGATACCTCATCCATTCTGGGTAGGGATAAGGGACTTCTGGAGTCTGTATTCCCACAGGTGGCTGTTGTAATGTTGGCCCTAAAAATTTAACCTAACGTTTGTTATATAATTTTAGGGATAAATTACAATGCCCAAACCCTTTTCCTTTTTTCGTTTGAGGGAAGAGTCCGAGCTTAGACTTTCACTAGACGTTGAACGTAGACTTGGTCCGCCACTTAAAATGCTCTTCAAAATAACTCTGCCTTCAATTGCCTTATGAAGCCTATCTCTTTGCTGTCGTACTTCAGATTCAAAAGTTGATTTATATTTATTGAGCTACAGAAATTAGTTAACAATATAAGTACATAAATTAAAACATATAATTGACTAGTCATTACTAAAATATAATTACCTCACTATTTCCTTCTTCCATTCTTGATTGACGAGATGGTTTGGTTTCTTCATACNTATTTTATAAAAAAAATTCTGTTAACAAAGTTAGATTTGTCTTTTGTACTTGTTTTATTAAACGGATTACCTCACGAGACAGTAACAGTAATGTTAATGACAGTACCTTTTTGGCCCATGCCTGGTAACCCGAACACAATTCTGCCTGCGACAATATTTGAGCTCCTGTTGAGCCCGTAAATTGTCCAGGCTGCCGTTTGCTTTGTGCCCATGATTGCATCTAAAATAAGAGTAAATTGATACAGGAAAATTTTCAATTTTATATTTTTCAGACAGAACATTACAATTTACCTCTCTCTGAGCTCTGTACATCTCACTTATAGCTTGTACATCGTTGGGATTCTCTTGCAGCTTTCTCATGGCAGATAATCTTTGAGATACTATCATTCCAATATCAACAGGAGTCTACAGAGCATTAATAAATCACAAAAAAATGAAATGTATTAGGCAAATAATAAAAAATTTTTTTTAGTAATTAACGCTATTAGTACCTCAGCAGGAGGGGGAAAGACTTGAGGTCCTGGCGCCGCAATAGCTAATGGTTGAACTACTGGGGGCGTTGATATTTCTTCTACAACAGATGGAGTTGTTGTAACTGTTTTTGGAGCAATAGTAGGGATTGGCGCTTCAGTTTTCTTAGGAGAAACAGGAACCCATTCGTTTTCTGTTTTTCTGTGTTGCTGTCCACTACTGACTGGAAATTGCATACGCAATTCTGTTGAACGTTCTTGGGAAGTTTTTGTAGGCAAAGGAACTGAATTCTAAAAATTAATAATGCATAAAATGTTAAATGTTGCCCCAAAAAACAGTAATCAACCTTTATATTCATGATAATTGATGTTGGCCTGTCTTTTATTTGAAAAGGATGATGAAAAGGTCTATCTGTATCACTGTCATTATCATCTTCAGAGACACTAGACAGTTCACCCAGTTCTTCCTTTTTTGAAAGTGTCTTGCAAAATTCTGTAAGTTCTTCGACGGTCTTGCCCCCGGCACGAATAGCAGCCAAAACTTTCTCCTGAGCCTGTGGACCCAATGTTAGGGCAGCGGGAAGGCTCCCAGAACGCATCATTTGTATCGCATTTTTACGAGCAATTTCCAAAAGTTTCTTTTTATCGATGTAATCACGTTCTTGAGACTTTGAATGGACCTTTTGCTTGTAATCCCTATTTTTGTCAAGATCATCATGCCCCCTATACCTTAGGGAAAAAGAGGATTAAAAAAGGATGTTAATTTAATTAAAAACCAACTAAAAGTTCTCATTACCTATCTTTATAAAACTTTTTGTCATCTTCTTTGTCTTCTTTCCTTGAATAATCTTCTCTGTAACTCCTTCTCCAACTGTCGTCCTCTTTATAACTTTTTCTATCATCTTTTTTATATTTAAGATCATTACTGCTATACTTCCCTCTGCCACTGTCTTTCTCACTGTATTTGTCCTTACAGTCTTCCTTATAGTTTTCCTTGTAAATTTTTCTCTCCTGTTTGTCACAAAAGTCATCTTTTTCACAGTGTTTTCTATCTTTTTCTGTTCTGCCCTTTTCTTCTTTTCTATCACAAGACCTCTCTTGACTATGATGACTGTTCCGACTCTCTGAATCAGATCTGTGCCTATGTTTCTCCTTATTTTCACTTTTATGCCTATCTTTTTTGTGCCCTGAGGTGGATTTGTGACTGTGCTTCGTTTTATGCTTATGTTTTTTAGATCTTCTGATTTCTTCTTCACTTAAGTCTGAAATATCAGTTAATTCCAAATTAACATCAGAATGCAAAGGATCTGTTTTCTGTTTTTCTTGTATTTCTAGTATTGTTTGTTTAAATATTGAACTAAACTTTAAATTTTGTATTTTTATCTTGCTATCAGGTTGGGATATTTCAGATTCCTCTATGGTGACAGAATTTTCTGTTTTGCCCTCTTCATCCTGATCTTTGCTTTCAGTTTTGATAACATTAATTAACTCCTTGTTATCCATTGTACAATTCCCACTGGCACCTTCATTATTTTCTTGTTTTATAAGATTAAGATTGTTGTTGTCCCCATCACTGCTTAATTCAAGTTTTATTTTCTTTTCTGGAGTCTCCCTTTCTTGCTTCAACACAACTTTTGTTATATTTAACTGTATATCTTTCTCAATACTACAACTGCTATCACTATGACTTCTCTTTCTTTTTCTAGACTTTCTTTTATGTTTCTTATCCTTATGTTTATGTTTCTTTTTGTTTTTCTTCGGCTTTTTTGCATATTCTTCCTTTTTAATTATCAGAGGGGGTTCAGCATCAAATGTGCTAAAGAGCTCTGTCAATATTTCTGAAGAAGACTTTAATGATTCAGGAACAGATACTTTTTCTTCGGTTTTTTCCATTCGTAACACAAAAATATTTAATAGTTGTATTATCTCTTTTAAACCTTAACAACTGTAGTGCATTCGTATTAAAATGGAATGTACTGTAGCTGATTAAAGATGAGTTCCTCAAAAAATTGCCTACCTNTTAAAATATTAACAATAAATACCTCTTCGATTAATATTAAATTCAAATTAAACATTTCTTGATTTAATAATAAATAATAACTAGGTATTGACGTTTAGAGAAGAAACACCTGTCTCTATAATCTATAAGAGTAAGGATTATAATAAGGATGAATAGGGACTATTTAACCACTACCTGTTTTGACAAGTGGAGTAAACTTAACCTAACGTTTAACCTGTATTTGTTGTGTTTAGATTTTATGCAAATTTACTCGAAAAAGCAATTCTTTACCTTAGGATGGAGTCTAAACCACAAAAGATGCCAAAGGTGGCAAAGGTAATTACAATACTCTTTTTAAATTATATTCTTAAGTGCGTACCTTTTCCCAGGTTAAGAATAAAGCCCCAGCGGAAATCCAAATTACCGCTGAGCAGCTTTTACGTGAAGCAAAAGAGAGAGACTTGGAAATCCTGCCTCCACCGCCAAAGCAAAAGATCTCTGATCCTGCAGAACTTGCTGACTATCAGATGAGAAAGCGTAAAACCTTTGAAGACAATATCAGGAAGAATCGTTCTGTTATGTCAAACTGGATTAAATATGCCCTGTGGGAAGAGTCTCAACAGGAAACTCAAAGAGCCCGTTCCGTTTTTGAAAGGGCATTAGATATTGATCATAGAAACATCACATTATGGCTCAAATATGCTGAAATGGAGATGAGAAATAGACAGGTAAATCATGCCAGAAATCTTTGGGATAGGGCAGTAACAATTTTGCCCAGAGTTAATCAGTTTTGGTACAAATACACATATATGGAAGAAATGTTGGAAAACATTCCTGGCGCAAGAGCAGTCTTTGAAAGATGGATGGAATGGGAACCTGATGAACAAGCGTGGCAAACATATATTAACTTTGAATTAAGATTTAAGGAAATGGAAAGAGCTAGGCAAATTTATGAGAGGTTTGTTATGACTCATCCCCAGGTGAAACATTGGATTAAATATGCCAGATTTGAAGAGAATCACGGCTTTATTAAGTCAGCCAGGAATGTCTTTGAAAGAGCAATATATTTTTATGGTGATGACCATATGGATGAAAAGCTGTACATAGCATTTGCAAAGTTTGAAGAAAACCAAAAAGAGCATGATAGAGCACGAATTATTTATAAATATGCTTTAGACCACCTTCCAAAAGACCAGGCAAAAGAACTGTATAAAGCATATACTATTCATGAGAAAAAATATGGAGACAGAAGTGGAATAGAAGACGTTATCGTTTCCAAACGTAAATTTCAATATGAACAAGAAATCGCCCAAAATCCAAACAATTACGATGCTTGGTTTGATTATTTGAGACTCATAGAAAGCGAGGGCGATTTTGAAGCTATTAGAGAGACATACGAACGTGCTATTGCCAATGTACCACCTACAAAAGAAAAACAGTACTGGAGAAGATACATTTATTTATGGATCAACTATGCGCTCTTTGAAGAACTGGATGCACAGGACCACGAGAGGACTGCCGATGTGTATAAGGCATGTTTAGAACTAATTCCTCACAAAACTTTCACGTTTTCAAAAATCTGGCTCCTTTTCGCGCAATTTCAGATACGTCAAAAAGACTTGAAAGCTGCTAGGAGGATACTTGGAACTGGAATTGGGATGTGTCCCAGGGACAAGCTTTTTAGGGGCTATATAGATTTAGAAATACAATTAAGAGAATTCGATAGATGTCGAATTTTGTATGAAAAGTTCTTGGAATTCGGTCCTGAAAACTGCGTTACGTGGATAAAATTTGCGGAGCTAGAAGCTCTTTTAGGGGATTACGAAAGAGCGAGAGCTATTTACGAACTTGCCATCAATCAACCTTTGTTAGATATGCCAGAATTATTGTGGAAATCCTATATAGACTTTGAAATATCTCAAGACGAAACGGAGAAAGCCAGACAATTATACGAACGTTTGTTAGAGAGAACCAACCACGTTAAAGTTTGGCTTTCTTATGCCAAATTTGAGGTGAACAACGAAACTGAAGACAACATGAACGTATTGTTAGCGAGAGGGGTTTATGAACGGGCAAACGACAATTTAAGGGGCACTGTCGAGAAAGAAGCGAGAGTAATGCTACTCGAAAACTGGCGCGACTTTGAAAATACATATGGAGATGAAAACACGCAAGAAAAAGTTAACAGCAGAATGCCTAGAAGGATTAAGAAGAGACAAAAGGTCGTGGATGAAGACGGCATCGAACAAGGATGGGAGGAAGTGTTTGACTACATATTCCCCGAAGATGAGGCCAGTAAGCCTAATCTTAAACTTCTAGCAGCAGCCAAAATGTGGAAGAAATTAAAAGACACTGAAGGTGATGATGATCAACCTGAAGCAGATAATATAGAAGAAAACGATCATAATGAACCATAATTAATTAATAATCTTATTATCTTTAAGCCATTTGTAGNCAAGAAATTTTAGAATTTGAATATGATCCAACTTTTGCTGTGAGGTGAGATCGCTTACTAATAAAATTTGTATATTACATGTTACTGATAAGGTTGGTCCTCTCTAAAAATGTTTAAAATAATTAAGTTTTACACACCCAAAAAAGCAATGTTGAAATGCGTGGAAACTTTAAAACAGAGTGGAATTTTTATTATTACAACATCGAACATTACAAAACACTAAATTAGATTTAAATACTTTGTATAATACTGTTTTTAATTTTATAATACGAATTGCATCACATCAGTGTAACAATAATATTTTTCTTATAAACAATACGTACAGTATTTTTTTGTTCTTGTATCTCATTGTAGGATTTCTTTAAAACTTTTTTTACCTATGAAACAAATTTAAATTTCGCAAAATTGATCTATTTACACTTTATTATTCGGTTTGGTGTTTTTATTATGCTCTTTAATGACGCATATGATTATGTTGTGCACCTATTTATAAAGATAATATTAAATGATATCCACACATGTCTTTTGAATCGTGTTAAAATTAGTGAAGACAAATCGAACTTGTCTCTACGAATATGCAGAAGGAAATCTATTTTTGAACAAGCCATTTTCTATTTTTGAATCTTTTAACCATTCGTGTAGGAAGAAAATTTAATTTTGGTATATCGATACATATAATACCTACGTAGGAAAAATTTTAGTTGCGTAAGAAAATTTTTATACAGTCATCCACGCAATTTATGAATTTGGAACTGCGTACAGTAATCAAAACAGAAAGTAGAACATTGTAACATTTATTCTATAAAGTAACTTTTTACCCAACGTTAGAATGCTCTAATGCATTCAAAATTAACATATCCTTCAAAGCCAAAATTAACAATTCTCTTCTTAAATGTAACTTTTCTATTCATTCAAGGACTTGGTAACTACATAAAACAACAATTTGTTAAAAATATCACACAAATTAAGTACTTAAAACTGCATATGAAAATAAATATAATTTTAAATATCACCATACCAAAATATACATCTTATTAAGTAAATTTTAAATCATTATACCAATACGACTTAGAAATTGCTTGTTAAACCTTTGTCCTATCCCAATATTCTTTTGTTTGCATTTCAGCTAATCTTGAGGATGTTCTATCAAAAGCAAATATTTCTTCATCTCCTGTAAACACATTAGCAGTGGCATCCTCTTGACTGACCTTTAGGTCATCCATTAGCATCCTGTTTTCATCACTGAGATGTAAATTATCAGGTTTTTGCCTTAAAAACAGATCTTTCAGTGGAACCTGAGCATTTATTACAACTCTTACTTTATTATCATAAAATGTATCAATCATTGTGATAAAACGTCGAGTTTGTGACCGGCTGCTTAATGTCAATTGTGGAAAATCTCTTATTATAACAGTATGGAAGAATTGGGTGAGTAATAAATAATCATTGGCACCCAAAGGTCGGTTACAAAGTTCATCAAATGTTGCATCTAAAATTCTTCCACAAGTTTTCTGAAATGAAACATTACGTTCTTGAATATTAAATGTTCTTGGTCTGACACAATCTGTTTCTCTTGAACACAAATATTTAAATATTTCATCAACAGCTTCATCATTATTTACAAAATACTTTGTTTCATTTGAACTTATTCTCAGTCTGTAATCTATGCCTGAATCTAGACTTAACACCTGACAACGACTTTTTAGAATGGGAATAAAGGGAAGAAAATTAGATCTTTGCAATCCATTTTTGTATAGATCATCTGGAGGTCTGTTACTTGTTGCTACAACTACAGTACCATTGTCAAACAGCTGTGTAAACAATCTTTTAAGTATCATTGCATCTGCTATGTCAGTTACCTGGAATTCATCAAAACATATTAGCCAGGCTTTACTATTAATTGCATCAGCTACTATGGGTATTGGATCAAAAGGTTTTGACTTTTCATAATCAAGATTTGGAGCCACCAATGTTTTAGTTTCATGTATTTTCTTGTGAACATCAATCATAAATTCATTAAAATGTACTCTACTTTTACGTTCAATGTTACTGCAATTATAAAATATATCCATCAACATTGTTTTTCCTCCACCAACTGCTCCGTGTATATAAATACCTGTAGGAATCACTTTTTTGGGGGAAAAGAAACTAGTGAATAAACCACTTTCAGGAGGTGTGTAGGACTCCAACTGTTCATGAAGTTGTTCCAGTTTTTCACACACTTGTCGTTGTTTGGAATCATCTAGAAGTTCACCTTTATTTATTTTCTGCAGTAGGACCTCAAGGGGACTGGCTCCTTCTATAGGTTCTTGAAATGCTGTCTTAAGGGAGCAGTATCGTTGATAATTCTGCTTACTTAAAGTTGGAACTCTTAACACACGAAGGATAGCCATGTTTTGATTGAAAATTAAGTACTGAAGTTATATTTAAAACAAAATAATACTGTAATAACTTGACTAGAAAACTAGTCTACGAAACAACGTTACCTAACCGCAATTTGATAACGTATTTATTGACCTTGACCTTGATCGTGTCTAGAAGCACGTAGTATGAAATACAATAGACGATTCATAAAAAGTTGAACATAACCTATAATCAAAACATAGTATGCATGTATAACCTTATTTTTAAATAGTTGAAATTAGTTGTTCATCATGGAAATTGAAGAAATTGAAAAGAAGCGATTATTATGTCGCTTTAAATCGGAAGCAGGGGAATTCCTAGGGGATACAATGGACCTTCCTTTGGATTGTACAGCAGAACAACTTTCCCTCATCTGTAATGCTCTCTTGCAAAATGATGAGAAAACTCCTTTTTTGTTTTTTGTTGACGAAAAAGAAATACAAAAGGACCTGCAATCATCCTTGAATATTAACCTTTTAAATACAGAATCAGTATTGGAAATTGTATATCAGCAACAAGCAGTCTTTCGTGTGAAGCCTGTAACACGCTGCACGAGTTCAATACCAGGTCATGCTGAAGCTGTTATATCAGTTAGCTTTAGTCCTGATGGAAAACACTTAGCTAGTGGTTCTGGAGATACCACAGTTAGATTTTGGGACATTTACACTCAAAATCCTTATTATACCTGTAAGGAACATTCAAACTGGGTGCTCTGCATTTCTTGGTCCCCAGACAGTTCTAAACTTGCATCTGCATGTAAAAATGGTAAGATTGTACTTTGGGACCCTGATTCTGGCAAGCAAATTGGCAAAACATTAGTGGGACACAAGCAGTGGATAACTTCTCTCTGCTGGGAACCTTTTCATAATAATCCAAACTGCAGGTAAGTTTGTGGATTTTAAACTCAAAAGGTTTAAGTCTCAATATTTTTTCTTAGATATTTGGCAAGTTCTTCAAAGGATGGAGATGTAAGGATTTGGGACACAACTCTTTTTAAAACAGAACGTGTTATAAGTGGTCATACAAAAGGTGTTACAGTTGTGAAATGGGGTGGCTCAGGCCTTATGTACACAGCATCCCAGGACAGAACAGTTAAAGTGTGGAGGGCAAGTGATGGTATATTATGTAGGACATTAGAGGGTCATGCTCATTGGGTTAATACTTTAGCATTAAATACAGATTACATCCTTAGAATAGGACCTTTTGATCCAATAAGTCATAAAGACATAATGATAGAAAAAAGTAAAGAAGAACTGCAACAGTTTGCTCTGGAAAGGTACCTAAATGTTGCTAAAGTTTGTGGAGAAAGACTAGTCTCAGGATCAGATGATTTTACATTAATATTGTGGAATCCTGAAAAGGAAAAGAAACCTGTTGCAAGACTTACAGGTCATCAACAGCTTGTAAATGATGTGAAGTTTTCTCCTGATTGCAGAATCTTCGCGTCTGCCTCATTTGACAAATCTATAAAATTATGGAATGGAATGACTGGGAAATTTATTACTACCTTAAGGGGACATGTTCAAGCTGTTTATATGATAGCATTTTCAGCAGATTCTAGATTAATGGTTAGTGCTGGTGCTGATTCTACATTGAAATTATGGAATTTAAAAACCAAAAAATTACAAATTGATCTTCCTGGACATGCTGACGAAGTTTATGCTGTTGATTGGTCAACAGATGGTTCGCGAGTTGCTTCTGGGGGTAAAGATAAGGTTTTAAAATTATGGCAAAACTAAAACTTTCAACATTTTCTTTTAGTAACATTAAAATACTTTAGATAACTAAAATTTACTGTTTAACACTTGATTAAGGCTTTTAATCAAGGGTTAAACTTGTGCTACTTTTTTTCAAGCATTAGTTTCATAATTTCTTAGGGATAATTATAAACTGTATGTAATTGGTAACTGTTGTTATTTCATTTTAATGTTTCTAAAAGGTAATCATGTGTATTAAGTTTAAAAAAAAATATAAGTTTTATAAAAATTATTGTGTTGTCTCTATTAATTTGTTTAAAATACTTTAAAACTCTAAAACTGATTGTTTAATAAGTTGAACCTTGGGTTAAAGATTTCAACCTAACACTTAAATTTTTACTACTTTCTTTAAGTATTAACTATTTCTAAATGTTCAGGATGCCTAAAATACTTTTGGATAAATAATCATTTATATTATTTTGATATTTAATTTTTACTCAAAGTTTTTAGGGAAAATCCCTAATTTAACTAAATGTGTGACTGCTACATAGACACTTCCACAATCTGACATTTTTAAATTATTCAAAATGGGATGGACCATTGTTGTGTTAATCTAATTATCAATGAAATGTTAACAATGCCAAATAATAAATTTTAATTATGTTGCGGTTATTTATCAGTTAGTTGTTTTTATCCACCTCTTTAAATAAATCAGGTGTAAATTAGCAGGTGGAATTGTAGATAAACGATTGCATTACGTTTTGACTATTTTTGTCAGTCGGTTGCCGAAAATATTCGGGTATTTGTTTTGTGTCAGTCGAAGTAGTAACATTTCTTTAAGTAGTAAATTAAGACGTGACAATTTTAATACTTTGGCTAATTTATCAGGCGAATTAAACGTTAAAATATCTGCGAGAACAGCATGTTTAGCAAAAATAAAGACAGTAGTGACTTTGAAGATACAAAACATTCCATGGGCAAAAAATGGTACAGAAAAGTTCATCAAAGGTTAGTGTTGTGTAACTATTTTCAAATAGGCACTTCTATTTCATACCATGAATTTATGATAAATTGTTATGCTACAATTATCTATGTAGAAAAAGCTAAAATAACCTACAAGTGCATGACCTGCAAAAATGTCACTTGTACATTTATTATTACAATAATCTGTTTAAAAATGTCTTCAATTATGAATTAAGACATTGTTATTTTTCTCTAATAGACTAATTATCTAAAAAATGTTCAGTAAGCACACACAAATAGTTTTCGAAACAATTTTAAATTTATTATTACTTTTTAGATTACAGTCGCACGTGAACCTCACTTCGCAGAATAATAGTCACATTATATCCCTTCATACTACTATCCATTAATAGAGTCACATGATCTTATTATTAATAAAAAATTAAATAATTAATTACTTGCAAAATATGCCTGATAAAATAGGCAACCCATTTTACACCTCCACATTGCGCGTTGTGGTGTAACATATACAGGGTGTCCATTACTTGTTCATTAGTCTCTTTAATTGAGAATGTAATTAATTTAGGAGGAGGTTGAATTTGCACATACATTTAAATATAGATATATATAATTATAATTGTTTAATGCATAAATAAATTTAATCGAGGTCGGTAATGATACGCAAAAGGTTATTTAAATTAAAATTGGTAATCAAGAGTGAGTAGGACGCGTATTTATTTAAACCCCCAATGAATGTTCTGGCAGATAAAGTCGTATGAAGTTCAAAAAGTTCACTAGATACAAATATAGCATCACAAACAGTTAAATATAATGCGTGCTATATATACAGGGTCTAGCAAAGCTAGTACTAAGAAGCACTAATACTAATTAACATTCACATTGATTGCGTACGACTGAAATTAGTTCGGTTTTTAATTTTAATGTTTTGGTAGGCGTTTAGAAAAAGTCTGCTAAAACTTTTTTAAATTGTTTTTTTACAAGAAATGCTTTTGATTTGCTGGAGCATCGAATGCGATCACATTAAAACCGTGTTTTTGTGAAGCAGTTGTTCAATAAGCACCCACGCACAGCCACGACCTTATTTTCGAAAGTAATGACTTCGTAGAACGAGTTTGAAGATGAATTTCCACTTTGAACAGTTCACACATTGTGCATTCTACGATAGTTCTACATTAGAGTGCAACGATACTAATTTAAAAGACAACTTTCAATCAATCGTATTTTGTGAAAGTAAATAATAATAATTCAAGGATTCCCTAAACAACTTTCTGACTTCGACGATGATGTGAGAAGTCGATATTTAACATGCGCGTTTTATAAATACAATCACAGCCCACGAACTGCAGTATTTTGCGCCTGTTAACGTACACACTCTTCTTCGTGGTGGTGTAATAAAAAAAAATATAGTTTTCGTCGTCATAGGCTGTTCTGGTGCGCTCTTTTACCCTGCGTTATTAATTAATTTTTTTTTTCTTGTTTTATGTGTTTTTTCTGACCGCTTTTTGTACCTTCTGCTGTTCAAAGTGGAGCACAACGTTTGGGTACCGTTATTATCACTCAATGTCAGCGGGCGCATTGTGTTTTGTGTACAATGTGCGCGGTGTTTGCCTCAAATGAACTTAGTACTTTCGTAATAATGCAGATTATCTGTGAAAACACTCGCGTCTCTGATAAATTTCATCGTGCATAACTTGTGAGCGTCATTTATTCGGTTTTCAACGTTCGTGGGTTTATAAGCTTAAATACGCAAGTTAACACGTGTACATAGTGTTTTTATAGTAATACGTGTGTATGTATAGAAGTGTGTCTCAAGTTTAATTAACTTTTAGTGTTTGATTAATTACTTTGAAAAAATGTCGATAGAAAAAACGCGCTCAGCGTCTTTTCACGAAAAACCGCGAAGAAACTTTTTTTCTTTCCGTACCGCGGTTGATAATGATTTCGAAAGTTTTCGAACTTCGGGAAATTCCACATGGACTGATAAAAGGGAACTTTCTCACAGGTAAAAAGTTGTATAACAGGCGGTATCTATGTGAACTTGTGTCTAATTATGTTTTTCTCATTAAGAATTTTTAATAAGAGATAAAAACTGATAAAAAAATTATGATAAGTTTCTTATATTACATAATTTTATATTCAGAATTTTTTATTTGGAATTTTTTTTTTTTCGTGAAATTGCAAGTATTTGCGTCACTCTGTTGATTCTACAATTTTATTACAACGTTTTCCATTAATTAAAAGAAATAATTTTTGCAATTCTAATGAAACTCGTTTCTTTAATTATTTCAATACGTTATTATGAGCAGTTATATGCATCAAGTACGATATTATAAATATTGTAGTTTTATTATTGCTACATATGTGGAAACTTTAAAACAGAGTGGAATTTTTATTATTACAACATCGAACATTACAAAACACTAAATTAGATTTAAATACTTTGTATAATACTGTTTTTAATTTTATAATACGAATTGCATCACATCAGTGTAACAATAATATTTTTCTTATAAACAATACGTACAGTATTTTTTTGTTCTTGTATCTCATTGTAGGATTTCTTTAAAACTTTTTTTACCTATGAAACAAATTTAAATTTCGCAAAATTGATCTATTTACACTTTATTATTCGGTTTGGTGTTTTTATTATGCTCTTTAATGACGCATATGATTATGTTGTGCACCTATTTATAAAGATAATATTAAATGATATCCACACATGTCTTTTGAATCGTGTTAAAATTAGTGAAGACAAATCGAACTTGTCTCTACGAATATGCAGAAGGAAATCTATTTTTGAACAAGCCATTTTCTATTTTTGAATCTTTTAACCATTCGTGTAGGAAGAAAATTTAATTTTGGTATATCGATACATATAATACCTACGTAGGAAAAATTTTAGTTGCGTAAGAAAATTTTTATACAGTCATCCACGCAATTTATGAATTTGGAACTGCGTACAGTAATCAAAACAGAAAGTAGAACATTGTAACATTTATTCTATAAAGTAACTTTTTACCCAACGTTAGAATGCTCTAATGCATTCAAATGTTACATATCCTTTATAACGTACTTCTGATATAACGTATCTTATTTCTTGGCCCAAACGAAGATAATGAATGTTACATATCCTTTATAACGTACTTCTGATATAATGTATCTTAATTCTTGGCCCAAACGAAGATAATGAATGTTACATATCCTTTATAACGTACTTCTGATATAACGTACCTTATTTCTTGGCCCAAACGAAGATAATGAATGTTACATATCCTTTATAACGTACTTCTGATATAATGTAGCTTAATTCTTGGCCCAAACGAAGATAATGAATGTTACATATCCTTTATAACGTACTTCTGATATAACGTACCATAATTCTTGGCCCAAACGAAGATAAAGCCATAACATACCTTTTTCTTTTAATTAACTTTTACCGAGGAGTTTGTGGCAGCTGTAATAAGTAATAATTTTATTTATTTATTGACGTTTTTTTTGTACTGGAACTCATATGGACAATTTATTACGTGTTAATGGCCGGTTTTATTTATTGTATTATGCTGTTCTACAACACAAATATTTTTGATTGAACGATCTAAAAATAATATGCCAAATATTTGATAATAAATATTTACGAAATAATATTTGTATACCAAAGTGAATATTTAGCAAATTAGTGGGGGGAAACAACTGCTTAGATTACAGATATCTGCCTGTTAATAAGTATACTTAACGGCAGCAAAAGTATCATAACCAGTAGGTTGATAAACAGAAACTGCTATTGCATTTATAAAATGTCAAGTGTATCTTACGATTAAAATATTATTTTTTGTATAAAAGCTTGCTGATAAAGTTGTTATTTTTTACAGAACTTAACTTATTAATTATTAAAAAATCACTTTTTAAATTATGCAATGCTTTATCAATCTAGAAAAGGTAATTTGAATACGGTGCACCTTTTAAAAATTTTTATCAGCAAATGATTAGGTGCCTGTATAATGTACTGTTGATCTTTGATAGTAGTGATTATTGATTGCCATAAACTTTTCTAGTTCCTTATCGTTACTATGCATCGAATAGGAAAGATATTTATAAAACCGTATTCTACGAAATTCGAAATTGGTTTATTAGAATTTAAAATTTCATAACTATAATTATTTAAGAAAAATGAAAAAGTAAAAGTTTTGAAACGTATTTCGTCCTTATTTGTTTGTGCGTTGACCTCTATTAAAACGCCCTGTATGTGCATCATATCAATCAACATTTTCGAAAATGGTAGTGTAACCTTGGGCAAAGTCTGTGGCTAAGAGTTATCCGTTGTTTGAATTGGACACTAGAAGAATTTTATTCAAGTACAGTCCAAGTTTCCAACTATGTATTGCCATACTCTTCCCCTCCATGACGTTGCTCATTCAACGAATTATTATTTTAATTCTAACAACCAATACGACTTTATTATAGTTGTAATTCACCCACGGGATAGAATAGTTAACAAGTCTTAAACAGCATTAAACAACAGAAAAAAAACAATGACAGAATTGCGCGATTTTTTTTATAACGAGTAAGTAAAGAAAAAGTTTAAAAGTTTTAGAAAGTGACTTTATGTATACATATTTAAAAAAAAAGTGTTTCGAAAACAAAGTAGAACGTTCTGTAATGTTTTCTTATGTGAAAATTGCGTGAAAGAAAACTCGCTAGGTACTTTAATTAGTTTTTGGAAAAAGAAATTTAATTTTCTTTTAAGTTTTTCTGATAATTATTGCTTCGTACTATACACAGGGTGATAGTAAGGTAGTGTACGTTTTGATAAAATTGAAAATTTTGTTACAATTAGTTTATAAATTCTTGTTTCATAAATAATAATTGTTGTAATCAGGGGATTCCCAGGGTGATTAAAATTAAATAAGCGCCTTAAAGAATTTCCAAAATGTATCTGTTTATTAATTATTGTTTCTTAATTATTGCAGAATATTCGTCAATCGGAGCTTGCATTTAGAAAATATTAAATTTTATGGATTTGACATGGATTACACGCTGGCCGGTAGGAATAGTTTAGTTTCTATCAAAAAAGTTTATTACTAATTTCCGTTTTTTGCCTTTTCTTCAGAATACAAGTCTCCCGAGTACGAAAAATTGGGATTCGATTTAGTTAAACATCGCATGGTGTCAATAGGGTATCCCCAAGAAATTTTAGAATTTGAATATGATCCAACTTTTGCTGTGAGGTGAGATCGCTTACTAATAAAATTTGTATATTACATGTTACTGATAAGGTTGGTCCTCTCTAAAAATGTTTAAAATAATTAAGTTTTACACACCCAAAAAAGCAATGTTGAAATGCTTTTTTTTTTTTTGAAATCTAAATCGAGATCAGACTGTAGGTATTTCGAAAAAAGACAATCGAGAATGTAATTTATTGACTTTTTTAATTTATTGCAGTCACTGTCTAGTAAATTTCACTTCAAGGAAATTAAAGAAAAACATTAAATTGTTTTTAAACTTGAATCGCCATAAATCTCTGTATCGTTTAATTGCAATAAAGTCGTGATTAACCAGCTCTGAAATTACAATCACTAATGCCACACCATAAAAAAACGTTTAAGCGATTAATAGTTGCAATAAAAAAAAAGAAGTACTAATTTATTACCACCCCAGATTCCCAAACTTGTTGGACCAATTAGTTTGCCTTAAAATAGCTATTCGGCTATTCGTAATATCGCGTAATAAAGTTTGCTGGACTGATAACATTGTAAAAATCAGATGTCTTTCTTTTTAAGTGCATCAAATGAATTTCTAATGTTGACCATGAATTTTAAATGAGTTGCCATCTTTTTTAGAGGTCTGTGGTTCGATTCTGTTTACGGAAACTTATTGAAAGTAGACGCTTATGGCAATATACTGACTTGCGTCCACGGTTTCGAATTTCTGAAACAGTAAGTTAATTGTTACTAAACTTAATTTAAACTTATAAACCGAAAAAAACTTTTTTTTACAGTTCAGAAGTTTACGAACTCTACCCGAACAAATTTTTAAAATTGGACGAGTCCAGAGTCTATGTATTGAACACCCTTTTCAATCTTCCCGAAACATACTTGTTGGCATGTTTGGTAGATTTTTTCACAAACTCGCCCCAATACACGAAAACTTTAACTGGAGTCAACTGCGGCGATTTAAATATGTCTTTCAAATCAATATTTCAGGTAAAGTGCAAGGAGTTTCCAAAATATACAGGGTGTCTATACATATGTATATATATATATTTTAGGATGTCCGTTCAGCAGTAGATTGGGTACATCTGCATGGAGACTTGAAGCAAAAGACAATTGAGAATTTGGAGAGGTATGTCAATAAGGACGATCGTCTTCCCATGTTCCTGGACAGACTCCGGGAAAGTGGAGCAAAAGTCTTCCTTCTCACAAACAGTGATTACAATTACACTAATCAAATAATGTCCTATCTCTTTGACTTTCCACACGGTCCTTCGGTAGATTATTATTATTTTTTTTAATAAGCTGTTTTTTATTAAAAAAAATTTTCGTTTCGTAGCCCAGTACGTCACATAGAAATTGGAGGACATATTTCGATACCATAGTTGTAGATGCTAGGAAACCCTTATTCTTCGGGGAAGGCACTATTTTGAGACAAGTCGATTGCACTACAGGGGCCCTAAGGGTCGGAGTTCATACCGGACCTTTCCATAAAGAACATGTCTATTCCGGAGGTAAGTTAATCCTTTTTTAATGGTCAAATTTTTATCCTGAGATGTTTTATCTTTGTTAAAGGTTCATGCGACGTCTTCACGAAATTGATTGGGGCTAAAGGCAAAGACGTGCTGTACGTAGGAGATCACATTTTTGGGGACATTTTAAAAAGTAAAAAGATCCGAGGTTGGCGGACGTTCCTGATCGTTCCCGAGCTGGTTCGGGAGCTGCGAGTGTGGACTGATAAATGTCAACTGTTTGAAGAGCTTCAAAAGCTAGATATTAAACTGGGAGAAATGTACAAGTGAGTGGCTCATTGGTTGATTACAAACACTAACGGTGTGTCTTATTGGGCTGTTTTAGCTAAGTTAGTGTATCACAGACCAAGTTTCCAAAATAATGGACACTGTGGCCTGCGCGCGTGTATTGTTCTTATAAAAGTAGCGGACAGAGTCAGTGGTAGAAGGTTGAAAACCTGTTTTTTTTTACTTAGTAATAATTTATTTTTATTTTTCTATTATAATCATTAGTGTAGTCACAATTTTAGAACAGCTTGTTGATTACTTTTAACATTTTTGGTACATTTTTTCTTTGTGTTTTTAGGAATTTGGACAGCAGTACACACTACAAGCCTGACATTTCCAACTTGCGGAATGCTATTAGGGACGTTACCCATAAAATGGACATGTCATATGGTATGATGGGAAGTCTCTTTAGATCGGGATCTCGACAAACTTTTTTTTCATCACAGGTCAGTAATGCAACTGTGCATATGTCTTGGGATGTTTTATAAAAGTTACCTTACAAACGAAAATTTGTACACCATCTTTTTTACAATTACTTTATTAAAAAGTAGATAAATAATTAAAAATCGCATATGTACATGTCATATTTATGTAAAAGGTAAATCAGGGCTTTTTCTTAACATTTCCAAGCCAAAATTGCCAGATTTCCCCCAAAAAACATGTACAGCAAATTTTTAGTTTCATAAGTGATTTGGAAACCATACCCTTCACCAACGACAACATTGAAAGGTGGGCCATATTTTTTATCCATTGTCTCTTTTATCATTCTTGCTGCCAGCTAAAGTTAATGTTTTATTTTCATTTGTGGATATCCCAATATTTTGCGATTTTACTTTTTTACCTCGTTATTGGCTGCAAATTTCTCACAAGCGGTCACGACCAAGTCCATTGTTTCTTGTATTGCCTCTTCGGACATATCAGACTTCTAATACGGATGTAAAAGTATTTTGAATCAATTTAAAAATAATTTACTCGATCTTACCCTTAATAGGGGATACGTATGTGTTGTTTTTTTAGTTGTTTCTTGCACCACTGGTTGTTGCTCTTCTTCTGCCATTTTAAAAAAGTTTTTGCTGTTGGTCCTTGTCTTTCAAATGTGACATATAATATTATTAAGTGACCTACTAAGAATCGTTGTATTATTTCAGGTTGTGAGATATGCAGATTTGTATGCTGCCACACACCTTAACTTTATTTACTACCCTTTCTCTTACATGTTTCGTGCCCCCGCCATGCTATTACCCCACGAGTCGACGGTGGCTCACGAACAACGATACTTGCCTAATGGAGATATAACTTCTGAAACCGCCTCTGACAAGGATCTTCCCAAATCTTCCGAAGAAAACACTCGACCGGTAAAAAATAAATTTATATTAATTGTATTGAGATTTCAGATTATTTGTTTTATTCTTTTAGAACTTAGTGAGAACTCAGAGTCAAGTTCCTCACATCAGGCCTGAATTCCCACGCTCAGTCACCCATAATCACGACGAAGATTTTTCAGAAGATGAGCAGCAAGCAGATTTAAATTTACAAAGGTTGAGATTAGAAATTAAAAATGAAGATAGTGGTGCTGAGAATTTAGAAGAAGCGTTGTGAATTGAGGAGAATACGTGTGAGGAAAAGGTGAAACGTTTGCACAAGTCAATAATGATATTCTTAACGTATAAGAAGTACTGGTTTCATAAAACGTTTTTTGTTTTACTATATTATTATAAAATATTCAGGAATTTTAAGAAAACCATGTTAAGCACAATTTTTATGTGGTAATTTCGTCAAGAGCAATATATATACGAATTTAATGGAGCGAGACGATTTTTATATTGTTTTTATTTGATGATAGCCAATAGTACAATTTTTATTATTCGGAGTTACCTGTTGAAAATAAAACTGTTTTTTCTTTTTAAAAATGTAATATTAACAATTAATAAAATTCTTTAGGATTTGATTTGAGTTTTATTTTAAGTTTAAACTGAAACTATACAAAAAATCCTTAAACTAAATTTTACAAAAGCAGATCATTTAAATAATCTTCCATCTCTTCCTCTCTAGATTTGCTTTCTACAGGCTGTAGATTCTCCCAAGTTGAGCTCTCTTTCTGTGTATTATTTTTATCTTCAATATCAGTTTTGCTAGTTTGTGCCTTAGGATACTGTTTGGTATTATCAATACTTTCCTTAGGCAAGTTATCTTTCTTAATTGAACTGGCCTTTTTTACTTTTAGTTTATTTTTCTTTTTAAGAACCTCACGTTTTTTTGTGTAATAATTTAATTTTCTTGAGCAGTTTGGGCAAAGTCCTAAGAAAACAATATTAAAAAATAAGAATAGGACCCTTTTAAGATACAAATATGCTTACGAATTTTAACTAAAGCATTCTTCTTTTGTCCCTCTTCTTGATAAACAAAATTGACTTCCCAACTTCTTAGATCCTCCTGTTCGGTGCATTTTTTTTCTGCACAAATAAACTGACCTTTTCCTAATACAACTTCTTGTTCTGTTCGCCAACGTAATGCAATCTTACAATCATAAATCTTGGTTTGGTAACAATATCTTAAGGTAGAGTTATGATCTTACCTTATTCTCTTTGTATCTGCTTAAATCTCCAATACTATATTCTTTGAAAAGTTTATCATAATACTTCTTTGCAAATTGCTCTTCCCACGTCTCAGGAGCCTTATCAGCCCATAAGAATTTATGGTGTTCTCTTAAAATATCAAAATCATTCCTGTCTTTTGATGTATCTCGTCTTAACAGTTTTGTATCACCAGGTCTTTTTAAAATATAGTCGTTTATAAGAGCCTTGTGAACATCATATGGATTCATATACCGCATATTTCCTTTTAAACTCATTTCTCTTCCTTTTTTGCTCTATAAAATGAAAATAACGAAACTTTAACTACTTTCATGAATTCAATATCCAAAAACATTGCTTTGACTTACCAATAATTAAAAGAACTGGTGGAGAAATGTGTAGTGCTGTATTGTAAGATCATTAGATTTAATTATTCCATATTTTAATTTCAATTTAAATGTTTAATACAACAAATTATTAATATTTTTAAAGTATACAATTGTTGGTTATGTGAAACGTCAAACTACATTTTCAATCTGAAGTCGTTTGGTGGCACCACCAGTATCTATTAGTCTGATATAAATTCAAGGAGTATATGTAAGATGACGCTACCCCTATAATGTACAAATAAGTAATATGAATGAACTATAATTTTTTTTTTCAAATTTAATCATTAAATACTTATTTTTCTTTTAATTCGTCTTTACAACTTTAATTTTTGAGATTATAACAAATTTGTAAAGAACTGTTGCCTTTTCTATAAGCAAAAAGGTATTTGCAGACGCAATAAAAATAAATAAATATAAATAATAAATAAAGCAACTTTTTAATTCATCTAATGAGTTTCACAAATCCAATTTTTAATCTTATAACAAATTTGTATTATTTATTGGAACGTTAATTAGTTCAAAACACATGTTTGTGAAAGTTGTTATAATTTGTTTATTGGTATGTTAAAGTTTTGAAGATGTTTTTGGCAGTACATGGTAGCATTTTAAACTAATTTGCAATGGTACATACAAATCGTTTAATGTCGGTAATCTGCAGACAACAGCAGAATATATTGTGGTAAATACACGTCCAAAAGTCATACAGAGTGCGTCGTTAGCACATTGGACAATGCATTCTTTCGGCTAAGGAGGATGAAGTTCTTCCTTGAATATTAAATAG